TTATTATTATTTTCTCCTCCGTCTGGATATATTTGGCAAAAATATTTCCTAAATATAAAACCAAATTTGTATTTTAATATTTTTTTCATCCTCCTCAGATGACGATCTTTGAAATAAAAAGTTTGGGAAACAAATTATAAAAAAAAGTGTTGCCTTATTACAGTACTGAGTATCACTGAAATGTGAAAGGAATGATCAACTGAATTCTACCTTAGCAGCGAATGCTTCTTTGTCAAAGAGTACTGTGCCATGTCTGCCATCTCCTGTTGTAGAAAATTTGAAGTCATGGTAAATATCAATACTATACATAGGCTCTTCTTTTTCCATCTTGGTTTCAGAGGTTGAAATAAAAACATTTTTTAATATTTTTCCAACCATATAGTGGTGTAGAATAGTCTTTTGTGATATATGATCCTCCGTTATGGAGATATGAATTTTTAGATAACATGAGGACAAGAATTTAGCCTCAAAGCTTATCTTATTTCTGTTGGTTATGCACCACTGGCTTGCTTGGGTTGTAAAAAAAGGCATATTAAAATGCTATTAGTATTATTATTAGAAGGGGTAGCCCTCTAGTACTAGCCCCAATAATGCCTAGCTTAACCAACCCGCTAACCTACGGCTAGGCGGCCAGAAAGTAGTATGGAGGCTAAATAGGCCTAGTTAGAACCATAGCCTACATAGGCCTACTGTAGGCCCAAGCCCTAGCACAGAGAGTAAGCTGGGGGCCTAGGCTAGAGCCTACATACCCGTAAGAACTGGGCCTAGGCCTAGCTAGGCTAGGGAGCTGTTGTACCCATGGTTGGGCTACATTATTACTTACCTTGTAAACGTGACCATAAGCTTTCGCATTAAAAAAAAATAAATATGAACACTTGACTAGTTTCCTCATAAGTACGTACAGAAGGCATTCCAAGAATAAAATGGTTTTCAAGCTGCAGTATAGTAACTTATCATCTTGATATTCAACATGATGTTTGTCTCTCACTCTCGCACGCAGAGCACAGGCAGAGCAGAATGAACAGCGCCCTCTTGACGCACGAGTATATCAAATATCAATCAAAAAAACTTTGATAATTTTTTTTCATATCTATTCTTTTTTAAATATTTCAAAAACAATATTTTAACTTTGGTTTGGATGCTATATTATTGCTGTATTTCTAATATGATGTTATATTTTTGTATTGTTATTTTTAATCATTTCTGAGCCAAAGTTTGTTTTTATAACTGTGGTCATTCCTTGCCATCTTGGATTTTGATTTGCATATTGTTTCATTGGCTAAGAATAAATAACTAAAAAAATAAATAAGTTTAAGGCGTGTATTGTGATTTTACTTATTATGCAGTGAAAATAAAATTAATAAAATATTTTAAAAAATAAACAGAGAGCCTTCATATACCTGAAAAATTTTCGCGTTTTTGTTTCGAATGTTGGAACGAAGTATTTAAGTAAATCATTAACTCAATCCAAGTTGAGTCTTTTTTTTCTATCAAATCAATGCCGTGCTGACGTGCACATAACCACATTGTTGCTTCAGGTAGACTTCTTAAGTTAGTAAACATTTCAGTAATCATGTTTTCAAACATTCGTAGTAAATATAAAATTTCCTAAGTACATCGTAAAATAATTCATCATCATCGCTCAAATTAATCGCTGTTGATGTAGGCCTATAGAAAATAATACTTAATTGTTAGCATGCTTTTTCTCATAATTCTAATAATAATAATAATAAAGGAAATCGCACTCGAATCGTACTGTAGTAGGCCTGTAGGTAATTCAGATGTTTGCGGGCAGAGATATACCGGTATGTTGCTACAAAATAATCCACTCTGGCTGTACAGCGCTCTTTCTTTAAAAAATGGGTCATTTATGCTTCCGGACGACAACCCATAGGTCGCGACCCAAGCTTTGGTCGTGGGTGAATTTTTTGGGGTCGTCAGATCGCATCTTCGTCTAGAAAATTATATAAAACGTATGAGATTAATTAATTTGGTAAACTATTATATTATCTTCAATTTGTGTTAGGCCCTAATTGGCTGTTATCCGATGTTGATGAGCTTAATAAAACATCGCTATGCGCCAACAGTCTACTCAGCTTGAGTCTACTAATCTTAGTACTGTTTGTGTTTCAAAATACACAGAAATATTTGTTTTGGTAATAACGTATTAGGAATTTTAGTGTTCCGTCACTAATTCACAACCTCGGCTCCTAGTTTGTCTACTCGTCTGGAGGGCAATTTACGCTTTATAAGTAACCGTCACTGCTAAATTAGTGGGCAGTATGAAATCAAAACATGACAAAGGAGCTAGCAACCAATGTCACAATTAACACAAATCAGAAAAAAAAAAAGGAAAAAAAAAAAAAAAAGATCGAGATCGAAATATCATGAAAAATAAGATTGAAATGATGCTTTTAGTAGGTTATTATTTAGTTTAATAAGTACCGTAGGGGTCCAAACGTGTCCCCTTAATAGGGGTGTCCCTCCCCTTTACATATAAAAAATATATTTAGCTTACTTGGAGGAATGCATATAGCATGAATAGAGTGACTCAAAAATATAAGAACACATGCAGTAGGCCTACACTGATGTTCACACTAAATAGAGGCAGAATATATTTGACCATTTGGTTCACCAAGAAATTCAGAAAGTGTCCGATTAATAGGGGTGTGCCCTTCATAGACGTTGCCCCCCTTCCCCATCCCCATCTGTTCACTGAAAGTATCGATTACCTTAAGGGTGTCCAAAACTAGGGATCTACTTTATTACATTTGGCCGTATATTTTTGTATCTTGGACGCCATTTCTATGGTAACCATGGTTTGGGTCGTGGAAAACTATGTCAGAACATTCTGGGTCCTAGGAATAATCAACCATTTTCAGGCATCTTCTTGACTTATGAAATTCCATTGCGGACAAAAAGTGAGACCACCCCCTCTTAACAATATGTGGGAGACATGTCCCCTGCTCATTATCTGCGCCCATGGGTATAAGAATGCATGTTACCAATAATTCACATGTCAATAATTATTTTTCGTAATACAATTTAGGGGGTACGATCGCACCGTCTGCACCCCTGCATCCGCCACAGCCACCTTTCTAAAATCAATTAAATAAGCCTTCGAAACCCTTAAATTTTCTAATTTTTCTGTCAGCTTTGCCCTGGACCACATTTTGAGTAATGCCCGAGCACACCCACTTTGCTCTGGTTGGGGACATGGGAACCTCCCTGTCTGGCAATTCCTGGAGCTGCTACTGTTTCACAACCCCTTAGGCACATTTATCTGCAGGTCGTGGGTTCAATTCTACCCGATACTTGCAACATTCTTTTCCAAAGTATTTTTGGATGTGCAGTGCTGAGTATACTGCAGAAGAGTA